AACTAAGGATTTAATCATGAGTTACGAAGGTTTAGAATTGACGATTCAGATATGCTCGGGCTTTGATTTTTAGTCAAACATGGATGCTAGAAAGTGTACATTCAGATTCATTTTCACTTGTAATGGAGGTGTAGTCAGTTGGAAAAGTTCCAAACAGTTGACTACTGTCAATTCCACTACAGAAGCTGAATATATTGCCACTTTGAAAATAGCAAAAGAAGTTGTTTGGATGTGCAAGTTCTTAATTGAACTTGATGTGGTTCCAAACATGGGTTATCTGACAACCTTGTATTATAACAATACTGGTGATATAGCATAGGCAAAGGAACCAAGGGCGCACCAAAAGTCAAAACATATTTAGTGTAAATATCACATTTTAAGAGAATTCATTGGAGCTAGAGAAATTTTGGTGCAGAAAACACCTTTAGCTCAGAATGTAGCTAACCCACTCACTAAAGCGATGACATAGAAGCAGTTGGACTATCATGTTGAGGAGATGGGCATCATCTACCACATCGATTGACTTTAGTTCAAGTGAGAGTTTTGTTAGTGTATGCCCTAGGAACCAATCGTGTTATCGGTTCCAAGACATTAAATCTTGTGAATATTTTATCAACAAAGGAAAGTGTTCTTGTTTCACATGTTGATTTACCACTTCATTTATATTATTAATATCACATGTGAAATGTTTGGATGATACGAATCTTCAAAAGATCAAATCATCAAAGCATTCCCTACGTAAGTAATGTTAATTGGGCAATAACATTGTATAGTATGTATGTTGAATGTCTTCATTGAATATCATGTGATGGTATTAGTGTGGGTGATTATAAAAGTTATATCACTATGACATTAGCATGAATAAACGGTTAGTGAACTATTTATCGAATATGATCAATTACGATGAATCACATAGACATTTAGAATGTGGTCAATGATACATCATAGAATGTTACTAGTGTACCACTAGTCCTTAGACTTGAGACATCACAGTTGGATTCAACATAAGATGCAGATAGTTCATATGGTTTATAAGCACGAGTCTGGTCATGTTTTATGCAAGAAGCTGGTTTGGTCATATGTTTTTCATGTGCAAGGACAAGTGATAGTCAAGACAGGATACGTTAACTTGAAATAGTTTGATCTCGAGTTCCTAGTCGAATGTCAATAAACATTAGAAAAAGGAAATATCTGGCCAAAGTATATAAGGATGTCATATGAAAAGTAGTTTCATAATGATATGTTTTATTGTATTGATTGACAATTCGATTAAAGATTAAGTTAAGAGTTTTGACATATCATGAACTTATACTTAATTAGGATTGGACGACGGAAGGATCTTACTTGATGGTATGTATGATCGGAAAAAGTTCACTGGAGTTTAACTTTATTGTGGTGTAGGGGTTATAGAGCATTGCTAGATGCCTACCACGATCAGTGGGAGTTTCAATCATAAGGAGTTATGAAAAAATATATCAAAATACGATATTTGGCCAATGGCTATGTCATAGTGAACCTAAGTGGTCACATATTAAAACCAAATAAAAGAACAGAGTAATACATATCATTAAAGGTTAATGATGTTCGGATGTAAACGTGTGTATATGAATTTATGTATTGGTGAAAAATGATTACTCGTGAAAAACTAGCACTTATCAAGGGTAATAAAGTCATTTGGTCATTATTAGATTAGATTCAATAATGAACTAATATATATTTATTGGATTAGATTCAATAATTGCTTATATATATTGCCGTGTTCTGGTCAACACTTGACATGACAGTTTACTCGTAACCACCTTATCACATTATCTTTAACTGCATCAGCATATCCAGTACAATTTAGCTTTAATGTGTACGATGGTTATGAGTATTAGTAACTTCCAATAATTTCTCCTTTTTTGACTTCTTGGGGTTTTTATTTGGGCTCCATGATTGGGCTTTTAAATTAGGGACCCATTAATTTATTGGGTCTTTTTTATTCTTATTAACAATTTTTTTTTTTTTTTTTTTTTAACATAATACAACAAATACAACATTTTCATATAACATTTATCATACAACTTGATGTGACAAAAGATGATTAGTTGATTTTAAATTAAAAATAAACTTTCACCCAATCATCTTTTAGCACATCATATTGTATGAGAAATGTTATATGTATAGTATTACTCATTTTTTTTTAACACAATATGTAAAATGATGATTTTCATGTTTTTATTTTATACTTTATCGCATTATCTGATATTTATTATAAATAAATGATATTATAAAAAAGTTCACTGTTTTCAATTATCATACTACTACTTTGAAAAAAAATTATAAAACACGTATTTTGAAATTTTGATAATACAAAATTTTGATTGTTTTTTACTATCATAAAAATTCTTATTGATCAACAAAAATGGAAAATTGTGTTACTAAATTTCGTTTTTAACTTGATTCTGCCGGGACTCCTAAAAATGTGTAGAATAATCTACTAACCCTAACATAAATAATTTATATTATGTAATCAACACACTATCCTTCCAAGTGTCTGCACTATTAATCGTAGTGATCAGCCTGCTTAATTCTTATTCTAAAATATTACTATTTTTTTAGTCAATTGTCAATGATTTATTATATTTATCCTTTATGGGATGGTTTAATATGAATGTATCTAATATTATTATTATATTTATCCCACTATTTCAAGAGTGTATGATAATATTAAGTGATTGATCAATGTCAATTGTTGAATTTGTACAAATTGAAGCATAGGATAATAAGTTATGATGTTGATATATAATGTAAAATTCTTTGATGGGTAAGATTAGTTTAATGCAAAATGAGATAGGAACATCTTTGGATTGAACAAAAATTGTCAATTTGGGGAGACAATGGAGAGAAGCCAGATGCAAATGGGTAAGGGGTGNCTCTCACAAGGGAGATCACATTACACCTTCACACCCGAAGCTCCTACTTGAGAGCTTTACATCACCGCCGTAGTCACGGTCCCCGACTAGACTTCCGGTAATCTCTATTCCCTAGCCCTCACTATATTAGCCTTTTTCAGTCTTGCTGACTTGAGCGTCGGAGTGCCTACGGCAAACACCACCTCGGTGTTTCCTGTTCTCTTTACGCGTGTGTTTCTCTACATGTGCAGGTACAGCGGATCGCTGGTGGCCTCAACCTCACGGGATCAGACCCCCCCTTCTGTACAGGTAGATTTTTACGTCTACAGTTTGGTGCCCACCGTGGGGCCTCTAGCAATCATTTGGCTCAACGAACCTTGCTACGTGGAGGAACATTCAATGGCTGACAATCCCGACAACGTTAACCTCGGCCTCGAGGCCAGACTGGAGGTTTTGACCTCTCTCATGCAACAAAATTCAGACAAGGTGGCCGCACTGGAAGCTGAGAACAATGCAATCCGGACCGAAAATGCGTCCATTAGGGCTGAAAACCAGTCTGTAAAAGAGAAGGTGAGTCAATTCTATGATCTCGAGTTCTTGCCCAACCAAGTACCCCCCAATCGGTTCTGCGCCCCTATCCCATCTATGCAACCACTCTCCACACCAGAGCATCAGCCCTCGATCTCCGGTAAAGGGCCGTGTCCGTTAAGCACACTGGTGCTGGACGACTCCGTTTTGACTAATGGAGACAAAGATATGCCAGCAGAACACCATCCAGCCGACCCATCCTAGCCTTGTAACCAAGATAATCCAATAACGGAAAGCCCACATCCACAAGACCAGCCCACCCTCACCGTCCCGCTTCACCTCCAGTCTACAACCTAAACACAAACCCTATTCGGCTCGGCTCACCCTCGCGGGTTGAATGACCAAACCAAACCAACTCCAGCACTCGAGCTCATCCATCCTGACTGACCGAGCGACTACCAATCGACTCCACTGACCATTCATGTAGGGCGAAACAATAGAACAGTGACAATGGGAGTCACCCAACCGGAAGGGATGAACGAAGATCCATGCTACCAAGGAATGCACGACAGAACGATCTATCAGACTACCCCCCGAGGGATGACCCAACAGAATGTGCTAAGAACGAATGCAGCAGTAGACCCAATAAGACAGAATGACCCGGTAGTATCCCCCTTGCCTATGGAACAAGTATTGGCCAAAAGACTGGCCGACATCGAGGCAGTGATGAGACGTATTCCAGGTATGCCGGTCCCAACCAAGAAGAGCAAGCCCCACTGTTACGCTGATTCACCCTTTGTGGATGAGATCGCCCTAGCCGACATGCCCCAGAAATTCACCATCCCCAACATGAAACCGTACGATGGTACCACCGACCCGAATGACCACATAGCCTCGTACAAGCAGCGAATGTTTACAGTCTCAATACCCCGACCGCTTAGGGAAGCCTGCATGTGCAAGAGTTTCGGTTCTAGTCTATTTGGCCTGGCACTCCAATGGTACACGAACCTCTTGAATGGATCCATCGACTCATTCGCCTAGCTTACTGACACCTTCGTGGAATAATTCGCCAGCAGCAAGAAACTAGAGAAACTATCGGCCGACCTATACCGAATATACCAGAGAAGGGGAGAGCCATTGAGAGAATATGTCAGCAGATTCAATAGAGAAAAGATCTCTATCCCCTCATGTAACCCTAAGATTGCTGTGGACGCTTTCAGGAAAGGCCTCCTCCCAGACGTAGAACTATACAAAGAACTTACGAAGTTGGGTTGCACCACAATGGAAGATGCTCTGGCCCGGGCGGTTATCCAGATAAGATGGGAGGAAGATGAGATGAACCAAGCTGCCCATTCTAGATATGAATCAAGGCGGAGCGACAAGAAGCCAGAGCCTAGACCGGTAGAGCACCGCTACCAACCTCCAACACCGCTACCAACCTCCAGCACGCAATATGAGCAGAGTCAGGAAGCTTTATGATCACCAACCCACGAGAAATGATAACAGGCAGTTTGGATCGAACCGACACAAAATACCAGAGTACAACCTCAATGTCGAACCAACCCAGGTCTAGCAATAATGAAAGGACTGGGATCCACTGTCAAGTGGACTGGCAAGCTCAATCTCGAGGCAAGGAGAGACACAACCAAGTGGTGCGAGTTCCACAGCGACCATGGGCACAACACCGGAGACTGTATTGCCTTGCGGCTCGAGGTTGCTGCACTTCTGAAAAGGGGACATCTCCGTGATCTACTTATTGACAAGAGGAAGAACACCATTAGCCAGAAAAGCTCCAAAAAACCGTCACCCCCTCCGCGGGAACCCATACTGAAAGGTTTCTATTCGCTCATCTCCGGAGGATCAGAGATCAGTAGAGTAAGTTACTCATCGGCCAAGCGATATGCTAGAGCCAACCACCACCATGAAGTACAGTCCATCCATCCAGTCTCGCGATCACACTCTCATCAGGTAATTCAGTTTGAAGATAACGAACCGATCACCCTGGCCGTTCCTCATCACAACCCTTTAGTCGTCTCCCTACAGATTGCCAACATCCTAGTGAAAAGGGTGTTCGTATATAGAGGTTTGTCAGCAAACATCCTGTTCCTCGAAGCAGTCAAGGCAATGGGACTAGAAGAAGCAAACATCAATAGGTGGCTGACACTGCTGGTTGGGTTCAACTCGGAGCAGAAATACTCTGTCGAAGAGATCATCCTTCCCATCTACGCCGGTGGAATAAACAAACAGACCGTCTTCCTGGTGATCGACTGCCCATCTCCCTACAACGTCATTTTGGGCCGCCCTTGGATCCATGACATACGGGCAGTCCTATCTACCTTCCACCAGACGATCAGGTTTCCAACCAAGTGGGGAGTACGAGAGATCAAGGGCGACCCCAAAGCTTCCAGGGACTGCTACAAAAACGCCTTCAAGAGCAAAGGAAACTCTTCATAGCAATTACAGTCTCATCCAACCCCTCGGACCGAGCCTGACCAACCGACTATTGAGGAGTTGGATGAAGTGCACATACATCCGGACGACCCAGAAAGAAAGACACATATAGGCTCCTGCCTCGAACCCGAGACAAGAGAGAAGCTAATAGAATTTCTCAAACAGAACGAAGACTGCTTCGCCTGGTCCCACGCCAACATGACCGAAATCAGTCCAGACGCAATGGTCCACCAACTCAAGAAAGATCCGGATCACCCACCAGTTAAGCAGAGGAGGAGGAAATTCGCACCTGAGCGAAACCAGATCGTTAATGAAGAGATTGAAAAGCTCCTAAGCAACGACATGATCAGAGAGGTCCACTACCCCGAATGGTTAGCAAACGTCATGGTCATAAAGAAAAAGAACGGGAAGTGGAGAGTCTGCATCGACTTCGCTGACTTGAACAAAGCCTGCCCCAAGGATTCTTTCCCACTCCCACATATCGACATGATGGTAGATGCGACCGCAGGGCACGAACTCCTTAGTTTCATGGATGCTTTCTCGGGATATAACCAGATTCTTATGCATCCGGACGACCAAGAGAAGATAGCCTTCATCACAGAGAGGGGAACCTACTGCTACAAAGTAATGCCGTTTGGACTGAAGAACGCTGGGGCCACCTACCAACGTCTAGTCAACAAAATGTTCTTTGACCACTTAGGGAAGACCATGGAGGTTTACATCGATGACATGCTCGTCAAGTCCCTGATTGCCGAACAACACCTTGATCACCTTAGCTAGGCATTCGTCGTCCTCCGGAAGTACAACATGAAGTTGAACCCAGCCAAGTGCTCATTTGGCGTCTCATCAGGTAAATTCTTGGGCTATATGGTTACTCAGCGAGGGATAGAAGCAAACCCCGACCAGATCAGAGCGATCCTCAACATACCATCCCCGACTTGCATCAGAAATGTCCAGCGCCTTGCAGGACGAGTGGCCGCCCTGAGCCGTTTCATCTCCAAATCAGCTGATAAATGCCACCTATTCTTCCATGCCCTCAAGAAGTCCAAGAAGTTCGACTGGAACCCTTCCTGCGAAGAAGCCCTACAACAGTTGAAGAGGTATCTGACCACACCCCCACTTCTTTCCAAACTTGTGGACAGGGAGAAGCTCTACTTTTACCTAGCAGTCTCAGAGACAGCCATCTCGGCAGTGCTAGTTCGAGAAGAAGAATCAAAGCAGTTACCGGTCTACTATGTGAGCAAGTCGCTCCTCGACGCAGAAACTCGGTACAGTCAACTGGAGAAACTGGCCCTCGCCCTCGTCCATGCATCCAGGAAGCTCAGGCTGTACTTTCAGTGCCACTCCATTGTTGTAATCACCTCCTTCCCACTCAAGAAGATACTGCACAAACCAGAACTATCAGGCCGACTCATGCAATGGACAATAGAGCTTAGTGAGTTTGATATAGCCTACCAATCCCGCACCGCCGTCAAGTCCTAGACACTGGCAGACTTCATTACCGACTTCACACCTAGTGCCACCACCAAGGCTGAAAGAGAGTTACTATGCATGAACGGCGCACCACCCTCAAAGTGGACTCTCCTAGTAGACGGATCGAGTAATGTCAATGGAAGCGGACTCAAAATAGTACTGATCGCACCAGAGAGAGACATCATCCAGCGAGTAATCTGGTGTGGGTTGAAGTGCACGAATAACGAGGCCGAATATGAAGCCCTCCTAGCTGGACTTTCCTTGGCCAGAGAAATTGGAGCCAAGAGATTGGAAGTGAAGTCCGATTCCCAACTAGTAGTCAATGAACTACAAGGCACGTATCAAGCACGCGATTCAAAGATGACATCCTATTTGAGCATGGTCAAAGAGTTGTAGGCCAAATTCGAAGAGTTCTCAATCGTACAGATCCTTAGAGCTGAGAACTACCATGCTGACGCCCTCGCCAACCTTGGCTCGGCACTCCCATGTTTTTCCTAGTCATCCATTCCCCTCTTATTCATGCAGTGGCCAGCCAATTGGAAGGAACCACCACCGAACAAGTCTCCCGTAGAAGCCATGGGCGTTGAACAAGCCGACTACTGGATGACCCTGATAATAAGATACCTGGAAGATGATGAGCTCCCGGCTGACAAGAATGAAGCACGCCGACTGAAAGCAAGAGTCGCCAGATTCACCATACATGAGGGCCAACTCCTCAGAAAGTTATTCTCGGGCCCTTATCTCAAATGCATAAGCCCAAAAGAAGCCTAAAGTGTTCTAGCCGAACTCCATGAAGGCGAATGCGGCAACCACGCAGGGGGGCGCAGTCTTGAACACCGGGTGATCACCGCTGGATACTACTGGTCGACCATATGCATCAATTCGACCGCTTACGTGAAGAAGTGCGACAGCTGTCAAAGGTTTGCCCATGTCTCACACCTCCCACCAGAACGACTCCATTCCATTCTCACACCTTGGCCATTTATGAAGTGGGGAATGGATATCGTGGGAAAGCTACCTACTGCACCAGGGCAACGAGTCTTCATGTTGGCTGTGACATACTACTTCACCAAGTGGATCGAAGACGAAGCCTTTGCACAATTCAGAGATCGAGAGGTAAAAGCCTTCATCTGGAAGAATGTAATCTGTAGGTTCGGAATACCGAAGGAGATTGTCACCGATAATGGATCCCAGTTCATTAGTTCAGGCTTCAGGGATTTCTGTGACATGTGGGGAATAAAGTTGAGCTTCTCAACACGCCGCAACCCCCAGTCTAATGGCCAGGCCGAGTCATCAAACAAGACCATCATACAGACATTGAAGAAGCGATTGCAGAAAGCTAAGGGCGCATGGGCAGACGAGCTACCTGGAGTCCTCTGGTCATACCGAACCACGACTCGATCATCAACTGGTGAAACCCCGTTCTCCCTGACATACAGTTCTGAAGCAGTCATTCCAGCTGAAGTATCAGTTCCGTCCATCAGGCTCCAATGGGCGGACGAGGAATCAAACAGACACAACCTTTGTCAGAACCTAGACACTGTGGACGAGCTACGGGAACGGGCGAGCATCACAACGCAGTTTACTAGCAATAGGCCGCCTGACATTATAACCGCAACGTGAGGATCCGTACTTTCAAGATAGGCGACTGGGTCCTCCGCAGGGTCTTCCAAAACACTAAGGAGATCAACTCTGGCAAACTCGACCCCACTTGGGAAGGTCCCTACAAGATAATCAAAGCAGCAGGGAAGGGTGCCTATAAACTCTAGACCCCCGAGGGCAAAGACATCAACAACAGTTGGAATGCCATTCACCTCAAACGCTATTACCACTAGGTGAACTTTGTTTTTCTTTTTTCATTTTAAAAAAGGATGAGTGGGCCTGTCCACCTCCTCTTAGACAGTCGGCTTCATGGCCAAATATTTAATGAAGTACTATTCAGAAGTTTTCGTCTCCAAACCGACCCCGGTCAATGAATTACGGACACCTTCAAATCGGCCTACTCGATAAACGTACGTACACCTTTGGATCGGCCATGCCGATAAACGTACGGACACCTTCAAATCGGCCTACCCGATAAACGTACGTACACCTTCGGATCGGCCATGCCGATAAACGTACGTACACCTTCGGATCAGCCATGCCGATAAACGTACGGACACCTTCAAATCGGCCTGCCTAATAAACGTACGTACACCTTCAAATCGGCCTGCCTGATAAACATACGTACACCTTCAAATCGACCTGCTCGATAAACGTACGTACACTTTCGGATCGGCCATGTCGATAAACGTACGGACACCTTCAAATCGACTTGCCCGATAAACGTACAGACACCTTCAAATCGGCCTGCCCGATAAACGTACGTACACCTTCAGATCGGCCATGCCGATAAACGTATGGACACCTTCAAATCGGCCTGCCTGATAAACGTACGTACACCTTCGAATCGACCTTGCCCGATAAACATACTGACACCTTCAAATCGACCCTGCCCGATAAACGTATTGACACCTTCAAATCGGCCCTATCCGATAAACATACTGACACCATCAAATCAGCCCTGCCCGATAAATGTACGTACACCTTCGAATTGACCCTAATCGATTTACAATGACATCCTCGGATCGACCCTTCCCGATTCACGAGTTGCACCTTCGTATTGGCCCTACTCGATCTACGAAACTCAGCACGACTTATGATTCACACCACCTAGTCGGCCTGATCCGACCCAAGAAATCAACTCCAGTTTGACTTCGTTCATCCACGGGAATGTACACTCGGTCGACCAAACCGAATGAATGGTCTTCACACTAGTGACAAGCAAAGCACTAATCCAGCCCAACAGAAGGCCTACATGCCTTAGCCACTAGGCCACTCTAAAGTAACATACACGACGTAGTGCACCTACAAGTAAAGAAACAACAGTTCATTCATCCAAGGAGACAGCATCAGAAGTCAAAATGGTCAAATGTTACATATATAACATTAAACGGCTTAGTTCAGAATACAAAAAATGGCACACACGCCAGACAAAAGGGCATCGCAGGCCCCAAAACACATAAATAAAGAAAAAAGCTAAGTATCCTTAGCACGAGCTTCATCCCCCATCGCCGAATCGATCACCATGTCTGTACTGCCAGCGCTCAGCCCAGCACCCTGGCCGCCCGCATCATCAACACCCGATAGCCTCGGCTGGCTGAGGTCAGGCATCTGCTTGTCGTCCTGCCCCCCCGGATGACTACCTCCTTCGTCCAGTAACTCCTGCATGAGCAAGATGTCTTCATCCGGATCCCAATGAGAGGTTCGTCCTTCTTTGAACTCCAGCATGAGCTTACCTCGGGCCTTAATGATAGCATCATCAGCAATGGAGATGCACTACTCCCTGAGAGACTCGACCTTTGCGGTTCTCTCGGCCAACTCACGCCTCAGTCTCTCGATCTCATGCTCACTATCCCTTAGATGATGCTGAAACTCTTGCTCGGCCTTCTGGGCCGCCATCTCCTTCTGGTGCAGGCTGGTGTTGGCCT